ATACAATATCAGTATCAAACATGTTCAGTGAATCGAATCGAATCGAATCGAATCGTGATTAATCGATTCTGAACTTAATGAATCGAAATCGAATCGATCTAGAGACTTGGCCATGATACCCAGCCCAACACAGTTGCAAAATACAATATCAGTATCAAACATGTTCAGTGAATCGAATCGAATTGAATCGAATCGAATCGTGATTAATCGATTCTGAACTTAATGAATCGAAATCGAATCGATTTAGAGAATTGGCCATGATACCCAGCCCTAGTCGACAGAAACACGGTGAGCTAATATTTTCATTAGCACCTTATGCTAAAGAGCTGCGGCTAATTTTTCGGCCCGCACACATCGAAATTATAATTTTTAGACGCTGGTCTGGTCTTTCTGAGGCTGTAATGACGCTAGCTGAGGTAGATGATGGGAGCGTTTTTATTCCATTGTCGAGTTTAAAAAGCAGGGAGCTCAGTTTTCTGTTTTTTTTATGTAGCCTGTGATAACAGCTGTGTTATCTCTGGTGAGCGTAAGCGGGTTAAAATATGTTTTAACTGCTGAGGGAAAATGTTTTTCCGTCTTGTTTCTCTTTTGAGGAGACATTTTCGTAGGCTAGGAGTCATTCAACGTGACCGCGGTCCGACATCTCGTTTTAGAATGTCGATACGTAGGGCGCTGTGCCCGAGTTTTCAGCCGCAGAATGGGACCAGTAAAGGCTTTCCTTTTTGAGTATAGACCACGACATTATGTTTTGTTATTTGAAGACTATTAATTGTTTCAATTTATTTATTTTTGAAAAAGGGGCAGGTATCAATAAGAATTTTTTTCTTCTTTCTGCTACCTTTCATTTTATTTGTGTTGTATTATTATTGTTGTATGTATAGCATTTGTTTTGTTTTTAAATGAAATGAATACATTTTTAAAAATAAATAAATAAATAAATGAGATCAACCCAAGTTTTATGTCCTGTGTACAGGATTGTGAATGTAATAGTTGTCAAGGTATATTTGTTTAAAACATTAAACATTTAGGAAGTAAAACAAGCACTTCTTTAGAACATTTATCATTTTTATAAACATAAACATGTTTTTTTATTGTATCTAATTTCTTTTTCCACCTACGACATGTCTCTTCCTGTTCAGCTGACAGCCTGTGTCTCAAATAGTTGTCTTCCTGTGAAACTCCACAAACACCACCTCTATTTAATTGTGAGGTTTTTATTTTTAACCCGTGGGAAGAACCAGGTACTCTCTCTCTCACACACACACACCAACTGGCCCCTGTCATGTGATGCAAACCTCGTGGTTATTGATGTTATTAGAGACACATTCCAGCAGGTTTTAGAGGGGGTCTAAGGTGTGAGAGTATGTCTGTGCACAAAAAAAAAAAAAAAAAAAAAAAAACACGACAGACCGTCCATCAGCAGGTCGTGCTCTTAATCGTCAGTAACCTCACACCATCTGCAACACAACCACAGACCCCCATTTCAGACACTTTYCCCTGCCTGTTAAAGCAGGGTCTGTTACAGTGGAGTGGAGCCTGCAGCCTCGGTGTCTCCTCCACACAACATGCAGAGTCAGAGAGGGGTCAGATCTCAAGTATTCCTGTCACTTCCTGCCAGCACGACTTAGAAGAATTTYAAGAAAAGTGTCTGCGAGGAGGCTTCTCAGCCTGAAGCTTCAGGTTTTTATCTTGCTGTCAGCTCGCTGTGTAACAACAACATGAAAAAAAAGTTCTAGTCTACACTTACAAGCCTGGCGGGAATCACATCCTGCAGTAGATGCTGAGATCGACCACCTGGTCTCCATAGAAACACCAGTTTTGAGCTCAGAAGTCTTCCTATCCTCCAAACCTAATYATATATCTCTAATCCGATGTGAACAATACAGTTCTGTTTGGAAACCTGGAGCATAAATCTCCCTTCAGCTGAAGCTGCTGGATGTTGCTCAGTAATGACCATGTGCTCTGGAGGCTACAGGTTCTAAAAAATAACTGATGACAGAGACACCAACACACCACTCATTACAGCTCAGACCCTATAATAAGGAGAGGGCTGGATATGATTTGGTGGAAAACTGTCCACAACACACCTGCAATTCTTTAGCAGAGTCCCGACGAACTTATTAAATGGAACTAAATCTGCTAATAATGACTAATATCATCAGTGTGTAGTAGTTGGACACATAAACGTCCATTTATTGTCTAAAGAACAACTTAAACCTGTACATTATAGTGACTCTTCAGAAGTCATCCAAATGAAAATTAAAYGAACAAAACAAAAACCAATGGAAACATCTGGAACCAACCATCTTGAAAACCCAGCAAAGGTTGGCTAAAGATATTAAACTGTGGAGAAACAAATGGTGCRCCCTGAAGCAGCCAAGAACTGCTGTTGGAAAGACCTAAACCAATTTGTTAAATTGGAGGCTAGCTATGAATGTAGTCACCAAATCCAGAACATGGATCATCTTTTAACTACCGGCAGCTTAAGTTTGACGTTTCARGTCAACGACAGAGCAAAAACGTGGCTAGTGTGACATGACATATATGTTAAGGGTTGCGCCTCCCCATGATGTCTTCATGAAGATCAAAAAGAAAAAAACTGTATAGGTCTTCTGGACGGGTTCTTCTCTAATGAAACGTTTCGTCTCTCCT